TTTCCTTTTACCACTAATTTATACATTTTCGCGTTTTAATTTTTGGAATAACTCTTGATAAGGTCGAAAATGTCCCAAATATATTGCATGAGGGATCACAAATACCTATGAATTTATTTATTATAAAATGATGTATAATATTTGTGTTGCTATGATAAACATGCGGAACAGCAAGCTATATTTACTATTTTATGATACAATTCACAGAATCATTCTCACTCTTTTAATTACTAAACTGAATGCCTCGAAAACAATGATAGGCAGTCACTCTATTCCTTTGTAACTTGGGACATTAAACTGAAGTGGTACATGCATATGCATTATTTCAGGCATAAGCGTGTCAATATGACAAGCGGTATATATATGAATATATAGAAATTCTTCTTTTGTACGTGCCTGTGACACTCTCGCAAAAGGCTGATACTTCTGGTGATTATTGCTTGCCGATAATTGTATGTATTCATACTTATTTGAAATTTTAGAAGAAAAAAAAATGAAACGAATGCTGCAATTTATAATTCATTTATAATACTAAAACATCATCGGATTTTTTAAATATAAAAACTTAAATCAGTGCAAAATAACAGCAAACCTATAGAATAATGCACTTCTTTTTCTTCCTCTTCGCACGGTCCTTTCCACGACCGTTACTCGCGGACTTGTCCTCAATCTTGCGCGACCTTATTTCACGCATCAAGTCGAAAAAGACCTGTAAATGTGCAATTGATGCTGTCTGAAAGCTTCGAGGTTTGGAAAAAGGTGCTTTATAAATTAAAAGATATATGCATTATTAATATATTCACCGTGTGCTTGTACAAATGTGTTTGCATACAGAGATATATATGTGCACAAGCTATAAGATGTCTATATAGCAAAGGAAACAGAATGATATGTGAAAAATTGCAAAATGAAGCTAAATAAACATATATCTCATGCAATTTCTTTATGTTTTAAAGGTTACAATACAATAGAAATAGTATGTGTTAAAAGAAATAACAAAGATGCATATACATTATACAATGTTTACATACAACTATAAATAAATAAATGTTGCAACTATCAATAAAATACTATTGAAAAGCATGAATTCCTATACTAAATAAGATTGTCTCCTGTAGAACACATTTTTTATTGTTATTCCCATACCACATTATAAAAAACATAAGAATATAATATAATTTTGTTAGTAATTACCTTATCGACATTTTCCTTTGTTTTCGCACTTGTTTCTACGTATGGTACACCCCACTGTTGCGACCTGGCTTGAGCTTCGGCTAAACTGACTTTTCTTTTCTCTTGTAAATCACTTTTATTTCCCACTAATAGGAATGGAATGTTCTCATCGTTTTTTACCCTAAGAATCTGTTCTCTGTGCATAAAGGATTGAACATTAGTGTTTTCTTAGAGAGATAGAGAAATAGAAATATACCCACAATCATTAAGAAAAATTATAATTGATACAAGCATTATTCTTCCTTTACTTTCAAAGCTTTTCACAAGTATGTAGATTTTAAATGTATGCTACATTGCTTTGAAATAACTACAGTTTATTTTTTGAGTTACAGAAGATTTACCAAGGAAAATAGATAAAGCTTTAACTAATAGAGACTATCGAATTAAAAAAAACTTGGGTTATAGAAGTTTAACTGTATTTTTATTGTTCATATATAGAAATAAAAGTGAGGCCTTACATGTAACACGTAAAAAAATTAAGAAGTAAGCTATTGTATACGAACATGTTTAATTATAACTAATATGGTTAGATCCTTACATATTAGGAACATATATATTTCTATTTATATCAAGGTTTATCGAGACATTGCTCTCATGATAAAGTAAGATTTTTTAAAAATTGAGCAGAGAGAGCATGTTAGTATTTAAAGAAGTTTTATATATTCATTCATGTTACGAGATTATCTAGCATTAAACGTATGCTATTGCTTACCTAAATTCTTGAGTAGCCTGAAAACTGTCGTCTTCCGTTATAGAAAACACACAGAGAAATCCCTCTCCGCTTCGAAAATAATTATCTCGAATTGCTGCATAATCTTCCTGTCCTGCAGTATCTAGGATATCTATTTGTACTTCTTCTCCATCTAATACAACTTTTTTTCTGTAGGAATCTGCTTTCGTTGGTTCATAGTCCTCTACAAACTGATATAAATATGAAATATATATGTATATAAACTAAAAAGGGGACATCACATATATGAGCTCGTGAACTTGCAAAATAATTTAGACTTTTATTTTATATGTAAGAAAAATCATAACCTTCAAAACTTGTGTGTCATTGGGCCTTAGTTTTCATAATATTAATTGTCAAAGTTTTTAAAGTTCCCTCATGCGCTGAAAAGTCTTCAGTTCGAAGGCATCCCTACAGATTGCAATTGGCCTAGAGGCTGGAGCGTCTAAGTCACATACTGTAGATCCTGGTTTTCGAATCTCATCCTTGGACCTCTATTTTTCTTTTATTATCTATATAAACAAAAATTTCAATCACCAAAATCCCACCAAATTCGTAAAATCATTACTTTTACGTCTAATTTTGTACTATAATACTATATTTATACAATTTTTTTTTAAATCACAAAATTAAATTACTGTACGAATATAACGTTTATCTATAGCTAAACAACTGAATCATATTAAATTATATTAAATATTAGTAGAAAACATTAGAAGCACTATATTTTTAATGATAACATTTTCAAATATTGTTCTCTCTGGTATTAATTTTGCCCCGAACTACGCAAATTTTGTCATATTTATAAAAATTGTAGGGATGGTTTTAAACTGAAGATCTTTCAGTCCATGACGAAAATTTACAAACTTGGACAATTAATATTATGAAAACTAAGACCCAACGGCACACAAGTTTTGAAAGTTATGATTTTTCTTACCTATAGAATAAAAATCTGAATCGTTATACAAGTTCATGAGTCTATAGGTATGATGTCCCCTTGAGAGCCTGGAAATTTAGACAAACTATAGTTCACAAAGTTGAATCCTGCAACAGAGACTATCTTTTGATAATACATATACAATTAGACTAAAGGCTATAAACATAAAATATAAGATATCTTATAAAGGATTACATTTCCATTGGTCACACCTTAATAGTTTTACATGCAAAATAAGGAGAATATTCAGATTATGTAAAAACGAACAAGTGCAAATCCATACTGTTATACCAAACCATAAAAAATTAATTTCTAAAAAATAATCGTCAATGCCGGATTCAACTTTGTCTTGTGTCTACACTTAGGAATGAGCTACAGTTTCTATAATCATAATCTCAAATTATAGTTTTTATTATGTGTTTTATATACCTCATCATACATAAATTGTAACGTAAGAGCAGATTTCCCAACACCTCCACTTCCAACCATTATAACTTTATGCATTGCTTGTGTGGTACCTGGCTTTTTTGACATGTTTTTACAACTACCTGAAATCAAATGTACTGATTTGGAGGTTCTATATCTATATAAAAATAAAAAGTTTATATATAATTTAACAAATATGAGATTATATATAAACAAAAATAACATATATTTGTGTAAATATTGCGCTACATTTTTTGTTAAAGTACAGTTATACTTAAGAAAGGAAGGATGTAAAAACTGTTGTCAGCATGAGAAATCTAAGAACAGGGTCAGAACAGGAATACATATTTACCTATACTGCATTGCTACTTACCTGACACAATGGTTCAATTGTACGAATTAATAAAATGCATTAATTTCTTTTAATGAATTACAACTTTCAAAATAACTACCAAACATGCCAGTTATATATATAAGCGATAATTGTATCATAATTATAATCGATATACAGGGTGTCCCAGCATCAGTGGTACAGCAGAGGTGGGAGTGATTCTACATAAAAAAAAACAAATGAAAAATAAAGAATAAAATTGTTTCATTTGAGGTTTCTTTCTCAAGAAAATCGATTTTGAATATTCAGCGAGTACGTGTACATGTAACTATGGTCTAGATGGATGGATCTCGATACAAGTCATATGTCACTTATAAGTAGTACTCATATCATTAGTATCAAGATGATGTGCTGTATTACTCATTTCTGTCTTTCTGATTTAGAGTGAATTTAAAGTCTGATCGAGATCCATCTATGTAGGCCATAGTTAAGTGTACCCGTACTCGCTTAATATTCAAAATCGATTTTCTCGAGAACAAAACCTCAAATGAAACAATTTTGTTCTTTATTTTCCATTTGTTTTTTTATGTAGAATCACCTCCCTCTCGGTTGTACCACCGACGCTGGGACACCCTGTATATATGGGACCATACTAATATTTTTCAGTAGAGAGGCGGATTAAACGACATAAACAGCGGAAAAAAACTTTGTTAGTAGTTATTTCCTATTAGAAAGGTACGTGATGTTAACGACCCTTCGTATCGCAAGGAAACTTGTATAGACGAATAGGAAGTGACACATAAGCAAATGTATGAAAAGGTTACACATGTACACACCGCTACAAAACTAGATTATGATTTTTTAAAGTTCACGGATGAAAAGAAACTCAACAATTGTGGTATAAACAGAGTGGCATATTTGTTTCTGTCTTGTGCTTATACGTTGTAAAGATGTTGAAAGATGTTGAAACGAAACGTACAGAACAGTATCCCTATTCCAATGAAATCCGAACCGATGTTTGCATTTATATTACACTAATCTGTACAGAGAAATAAAATGATTAAAACCACTTGAATGTGTACGTATGACAAATAACGATAAAGGCGGTGCTACACGCCCAATTTTCAAGAAATGTCGCTTTCGATAACAAACCACGCTTTTCTCATCATACATCGGATTATGTTCGCCTTAACGTAGTTTCTATCTTCAACGATGACAAACATGGATCGAGTAAATACCTTTGAGGATCGTGTCAATTGAAAAATCTTCGAAGTTTTTCCTACAACCTCAGTCGTCACACTTTCCTTCGTTGTACCTAGCTGTGCCGCGACTGACCGCGACCAACCTGGACCAACCGCGACTGATAGTACCGACAATTAATTACACCGGTACAACCGTGCACCCTACTGGCTCTTTTCTGTATTACAATCTATAATACCGGCTGAAAGCAAGATCAGCATCAAGATAAGGCAGAGGCCAAATGAAGCCAGGGCCGGTTTTAGCAATATTGGCGCCCCGGGCAAGATTATCGTGGCGCCCCTTCAGGGGCTTAACATTTTTAAGAAAAGAAGACAAGATAATAATCTTCGACCATATACATATACATGGACTGCTCAAGCCTACTCTTTGTACACTGACCAGAGCGTAACCATTGAGCTCTATTCTAACTGGAGTGTGAACAACTGTAAGAAGAAGTAGAGGCGACGGAGGTCCGAGAGAAATGCAAAATGGGTATGGGTGGTTCCGGTATTATCCTATAGCAAATTTATTTGTAGAGGGAGAACAGACTCCTCTTTGTTTGCTTTTCGCGGCACTAGCAATTATTTGATGCGTACAAAAAAATATTTGTACAGATTTGAACTTTATTTCCTTTTTATATATATATATATATATAAAACGATAGAAGCATTAATAATAATGACATAATAATGGAATAGTATACATAATTTTTCATACCATAATTTAGATCATACAAATATATACAATTTGGTATAGAGCTAAATTTTATTATTTGTGTTGGATTTTAGCTAAAGTCAAATAGTATTTTGAATACAGTGGAAAAAGTTTACTGTAGGCAAAACCCCACAACCAGATGCGACACCGAGTTCGTCGCCGAACTCGGGCTTTATTTGAGGTTGCTAGATATTTTTGCTTCCTCTGAATACTGTACGCACTCGGTACGTAAGCCTAACACAGCAATTTAGGCTTAGCGTCATAAACCGTGTTCGCACGATCTGGACACTCGTCGACGCTGTCGACTACCTAGGTATCGACGACGACCTTAGGAATAGCTTCGAATTTTGTGCGACAGTCAGTTCGATCCGCGCTTGCAAACCGAGAGGTTGCGTAGCTGACCGTGTTACTAGCAACCTCACATCTTTGTAAATACATAATCTTATATTTACCACATTTTGTTTTTATCTATAATAAATACGCAGTGGAACATTACTCTGTTGCCTATATATTTATTTGAACATAAATATCCAACAATTTGTCACAATTCAATTTATATTGTATTTATCCAATTTTATGCGAACAAGAATCTGAAAGTAACTCATTCGACAATGCTCAGCGATGCTTGGGTAGGTTATGTTACGGCGTACGTTTTTTCCCCTTTTACAAATAAATTTGCTATAGGATAATACCGGAACCACCCATTTTGCATTTCTCTCGGACCTTCGTCGCCTCTACTTCTTCCTACAGGAGTTCACACTCCAGTTAGGATAGAGCTCAATGGTGTAGCTAGATTTGGCGCCCCAAAAGTATCTGGCGCCCTGGGCGGCTGCCTGACCGCCACCCCCCCCCCCCCCCCAACGTCGGTCCTGCAATAACATAGCCTAAAATGGCAACGGTGTTCCTACTGTCGCTAACATGCCGGCGAACATCTACGATGTTCGTACTCCAGTGAAACTGATGTTATTTTGTCGAAACTGGGCGATCCGCATCCCCTCTAGATAATATATCTGGATAGTATCCGTGACCGTAGTTAATATTAGTTTCTTAATATTCGTCCAAGTTTTTATGCTTTTTTTGTTGTATCTTGATAAAAATACAGGGTGTCTCAAAAATGTTGTAATACCTTGAAAGGGGTGGTTCGGGAGATGATTTGAAACAACTTTTTCCTTAGCGAAAATGTTGTATGAGGTTTCGTTGAGGAGATAATAACAAAAACCAATCAGAACGCGCGTAGCCAAGACTACGCTCATACGCTACCGCGGCCGCTCCACCGGTATACTCGCGCTCTGATTGGTCAGTGTTTTCCGTTAATATCTCCTCAACGAAGCTTCGAACAACATTTTCGCTAAGGAAAAAGTTGTTTCAAATAATATTCCGAACCACCCCTTTCAAAATGTTACAACATTTTTGGAACACCCTGTATATGTACATTGATATTTACAGAAACATCCGTCCATCCACCTTTTCATCCATTCATGCATACATATATATATGTATGTATGTATGAATGGATACAGAGTATATCCGTATATATATATCCATAATACTCTGCACATAATAGTAATAAGAAGAAAAATAATAATAAGAAAATACATTTAAAAATTAGTTTATTGTCCAGAATTTTTGAAAAGTTGGGTATCAGGTCCATACAGGGCTGAAGTTAGGGGGGGGGGTGCGGTCGGGCAACCGCCCGGAGCGCTAGATTTTTGGGGGCGTCGCAGTCCGGTGTCCCTAATATACGAATATACCGATATATACAGGGTGTCCCAAAACTCGCATAGGAGCCGGAAATGGGGGGTAACTGAGACGATTCTGAACAACAATTTCCTTTGCAAAAATGTCGGATGGGGCTTTGTTTTTGAATTAGTAACGAAAAATACGGACCAATCACAGGGCCCGATTAGCGCGCGATCAGCAGCGAGAGAATAAGCTCGAGCTAGGATTGGCTGATTGCGCCAGGTCGCTGTGTAGCCAGCTGAGCGTGCGCTAATCGGGCGCTAATCGGGCCCTGTGATTGGTCGGTATTTGTCGTTATTAATTCAAAAACAAAGCCCTATCCGATATTTTTGCAAAGGAAATTGTTGTTCAGAATCGTCTCAGCTATCCTCCATTTCCGGCTCCTGCACGACTTTTGGGACACCATGTATATCCCTGAAAGGGCGCCACGATAATCGTACCCGGGGTGCCAATATTGCTAAAGCCGGCCCTGGGTTCATATAGCTAAAAAGGTTACCTAGTTTTTCCATGGGTCCTAATTATCTCCTGGCTAGGAGTTTACAATCTATTTCCTATTTTCGAACAGATTTTCTAATCGGTTACTGGCTCACATAATCAAGTATTAATATTATAAAAATATTGCATATCGTAAATTTTTTGGGAAGGGGGGCAGCTAAGGACGCCAATTTCGCGAACATATTAGACACTTTACTGGCCGGCACCATGGCCTTCAAACACTGCGCATATGCATCATTCGTTTATCGCACCTGCCGAAGAAAAGTGGAGGGGATTTATGGCATGCTTGTGAATCGACGTGATCGACGAGTTTCGTATCTTCGAGAGCGATGACGCGATTTTTCTTGACGTCACTGTATTCTTTTTCGACCAATTACTTCTCATTTTGTACAAAAGCGAATCAGAGAAGTTTTTTCAAGAAGTGTTGTCAGATAAGTACTTGCAGAACTTTTTAGAGTATTTCTTTTTATTTATTTATTTGTACTTTCACTCACGAGGCAATAAATAAAGAAATCATTTGTAACTGGAATGTTATGAGAAAAAAAAGCAGCATGCAATTTTTGAAAAAGTCCTTCGTGAATAATTGATAATAGAATTCGAGATGCTTTGCATGTAAAATTAAATATAAATTCCTGTTAAATTAGGAATATCGAAAAGCCTCAGAAGATGGAAAAATAAAGGTTTCGAATGAGATTAACGCATTGAATTTAAATTGATTTATGTATTAACATAATATTTTATTTGTTATATTTTTGCAAAAATGAAAAAATAATATTAGCTACAGCTTTTGGATCCATCATATGGACATGGTGCAGTCCTTCAACTTTCTCCCAGTAAACAGTTTTATTGTCCTTCATAAGGTTCACGCATTTAGATACATCGGCTTCATTATATAGATGTGATTTTGTTGCACTGATCAGGAGACACGGAGATGTCATACATTCAGCAGACATTTGTATATCTTCTGTGATAAATTGTGAAAGAAGAGGAAGATACTTAATTCTTGGATCTCTGTTGAAAGTATATGTTCCATTTTCTTCTTTTGTAGCACCACGTTTCATTAACATTCTGCACGAAGCTTCATTTAAACTGTTTTTCATACCAGCCATCAATCTAGTTATGATTTCTGTTTCTGTGTATTTTGGTTTAGATGTAAATTCGTCCATCTCTATGAATTTAGATATGTTTTCAGAGAAGTACTTATTGTATTTAGTCCTAGATATTGGTATACTAAGAAGTGGAACATCTAATAGTATTACGTATTCCATATCCTTTGGCAAAAGAGATGCGTAGTAGAAGCTTAAAAATCCACCAAAGGAATGTCCCATTATTTTTATTTTATCCCATCCAAAATAATTTTGTATTCGTTTAATTAGTAGTATGTACATTATATTATCGTACATCATTCCTGTAGGTAGCCAACTAGATAATCCATGACCAGGTAAATCAATAGTCAATATCGGAGTATTCTCAGACAGAATTGGAGCAAGTGCATCGAATGATCCAGCATTATCTTGCCATCCATGTAAAGCTAATATAGGTTGCTTGTCTTCTGGTCCCCATAATTTTCCTTCAAAGAATTGTATTTTTAGGGTGAAATTGAATTTGTTATATTCGATTTTGCATTGTCATTGCACTTACCTTTAATCTGCCACCCTGGTACTTTAATTTCTACTTCTTTTACTGAATTCAGTAATGGTTGCGTATTAGTATGTAACATTCTTTTTAATAGAAATCCTGAATTCATTTTGAAGTACATTCTGATACCATGACTCGGAATATAGTACATGTTGATTTTTTTACAAATTATTTTACACTTTTGAATTATGAGTCACGCAAACATAAAAGAAAGTACAAAGTATAATACAACTTAATTATACACACAGTATAGGTAATTATTTTTTTTTAATAAATTACTATTACATTTAAAACATTAGTATTATCGTGTATTATTTATCATAAACAGATATAAAAAAAACACTTCATAAAAACCGTATGTAGTATCTTCTCAATTTGTGGATAAAGATAAAATAAGGAATTTGGAAAGACATCGCTATCTAGATCAAGAGTGTATTTAGGGAGGGGGAAGAGGGGAGTGGGGTCGTTCCCTCTTCCATGGTGAACAAAATTTGAAATGGAACAGAAAAAATATAACCAACAAATTTCGGCTAAACTTTACTTCTGGGCACTAAAAATTATTGAATTTTTTTTATTATGAAAAAGGGGTAAGTTCACATAATGAAAAACTGGAGTTAATGATGGATAAACTTTTATTCTGGTATTATCTTTATATTTTCATTCAATTTGGAGATCCTTCTTTTCAAAATCAATACAATTTTCATAAAACAAAATTTCTTCATAAGAATTGCATTCTATTCCAAATGCAAATCTACAAATATATCTCGAAACAAAAAATAATGGACTTGCCCCATTTTCATAATAGACAGCTCATATAAGTATAGATAAAAAATCAACGTGGTAAAAGGAAATAAGGGTAGCAGTCTCTAGTTTAATTCCACAATTTGAGAAAATGCGCAGTGATTCATCCATTGCATTGATGATTGATTTATTGTTACTAGAGTTAAAAAATTAAATAAATAATGAAGATACACATTTATTTATTTTTATCCGGCTAGGAAGAAATTTCAATTATAAAACAGAACCGAAAATTTGAATTGTCGATAAAGAGAAAGAAAAATAAATATTGGTAAAGTTAAGTTTTATGAAATAGTAACACTTATATTTAGTTAGCTTGTGCCACAAAATGTAGTCTGTCTAACATATTTCAGATTAGTCTCCTATTGATTGGTATTAAAGGAGTCGCCGAAAATAATCTGTATACTAAGGGACCCGCTCGACTAAAAAGTTTGGAAACCTCTGGCCTAGATAACAAAAAAAGGAAGTTTTAATGTTAGAAATCCAACGGTTTAAAAGTTATGAATATTTAAAGTTGAGCATTTTTGACATCATATTGGCTTTTACCGATGCTCTGTTGGTCCATTAGGTAGGTAATGTCATTCTTCCGATCACTTGTTGTAAACAGGCGTTCTTAGATGGCGCGCATTGATGTCATTGTCTTCAGTTTAGTTTTGGTTCAGTTTTTTTTTATTTAAGTGCATAGGCAGAGATGCCCAAATAGCACTTCTCTTTTTGTTTTACAGTTTTTTTCTTGACCAGTTGTATAATTGTAAATTTGTATAATACATAGTACCTTAATACTAAATAGACCTTAAAAACTTAACAAGTCTGTAATATATTCCGTTAACAGTCTTATCTTTCTTGAACACTTTTATCCTTACATTATTCAGTCTTTGTGTTCTATGAACTATTATCAGTATAAAGAGTTGTGCTGAGTTATACTGAGTAGAGTCAGTATAGAGATCTAGCTATTTATAAGATAGGAACATTTCACCTTACTATTCTTGACCTACAGCTTACAAGAATATAATTCCTATTTTCCTATATTTTCCATAGATGACGCATTTGGAAAGAAATTATTCATTAAATATATTGTAATTGTATATATTATCATATACATATGACATATATACAGGGTGTCTCAAAAATGTTGTAACATCTTAAAAGGGGTGGTTCAGGAGGTGATTTCAAATAACTTTTTCCTTAGCGAAAATGTTGTCCGAGGCTTCGTTGAGGAGATATTAACAAAAAAACCCGACCAATCAGAGCGCGAGTATGCCGGTGAGCGTAGGTTACACGATAGGCGGCCACGCTCATACGCTACCGCAGCCGCTTCAACGTTACAACATTTTTGAGACACTCTGTATATTGTAGTCTATGCGCACTTGCCCCGCGAGTGGACGAAATATTCATAACTTCAAATTCGGGATTTTGCTAAAAGTTTTCTAGTAACTTTCTTAGGGAGTTAGATCTCCTTATACAGTCTTCATGCTATAGCTTGAGCGGTCCATGTACTGTATGGTCGAAGGTGTAGACTGACGATATAATAATAGCAGAAAAGACGACGACAGCGCCGTAATGGAAAGCGCAATAACGAAGCAGCCATATTGCCATACGAATCATCAAGATTTCATAGGAACAAAGCTGATCAAGTTGTTCGAAGCGAAGAAGCAATATTTTCTCACGATTCTTTTTCCGAAATATTGTTGGTACCACTCCGCATGCAGCTCCGGGAACCAATTTTGCAATTTCGGCCTTAAAACTTTATAAACAATAAAAGTGTACGTTTTTATAGATATATTTTTATACATGCACTTATACATACACACCAAAATCGGTGTCTGGGGCTGCGTGCACCAAAGTGTAAGGAATATTTAAAAAAAAAAAATTATTAAAAAATATTGTTTCCCTTCAAACAACTTGATCAGCTACATGGAAAAATCATGTAGCAGCCTATCGCCCTGTCCTTGTCTCTCCTCATTGTTGTATCTCTGTCCTTGTCGCAGCATCATTGGAGGAACAAGGATTCCTTGGGTAGCTTCCCTTCATCTCTTCCACGCGTTCACTTAACCTCTTTGACTTCATACTAACAATTTTGTCTATTTCACGTTTGTATTAAGTTAAAAATATCTCTTATTAATTTTAAAACACTTCAATTTGGTCCAAAGAAGGTTTTATCTTTCTTCACACTTATATTTTCTTCAAACCACTGTAAATATTTGAAGTTTAATGCATCATAACATCAAACTACTTTCAGAGTCCATCAAATTTATACTACATTTGCAGATAGTAATATACTTTTAAGCTACTTTTACTTACTATAGTCATAATATTTATATACCACTTTTACATAATTAATAACAAATGGTGTACATTAGTACAGTTTTCTATTAAAAAAACTGTTAATTATGATACGAAGCACAAGACTCATATTGGAAAATAGTAGTCTCGATCTAGACTTAAGCGGCGTTGCCACGTTTCTCAGCATGGCTAGTACTAGAGTTGGCTGTGACCGCGGGGCTTCTGAAAACACGGGGCCGGGTTCCGACGAACGCGCTGAATCTGCCTTACGCCGGCCCTGACTAGGAACACTGGACTGCGACGCCCTCAAAGATCTGGCGCCCCGGGTGGTGCCCCCCCCCCAACGCTGGCCCTGTGTGTGCCGAGAAGGAGGAAGGATAAATTGGCTTTGGGAATTTTCCCCTTAAGCGGCAAGAATCAACGGACGCACGTGTAACGTAATAATAATCACCAAGCTCGAAACCTGAAGTGTAGCGCGGCACGTATTAAACTTCGGACTTTTCCTGCGAACGTTGCTCTTCCCTTCTCTGTCCTTCGCTTGTCTGTGAGTTTATCGCTCTCGATCTCTCTACGCTCGCAGCGCAGTACTCTTTTATGATTCTTTCACGACGATGTCGAATTAACTTCGTCGCGTTATGGTAACGTACACGAATCGTACGATGGAACTGCAATGACAGTGAGATTATCACGAGTATCCATGCGCGATTAATGAACGACACGTACGTACGTAGTGCACGGTAGGCCTGGCGGGACTGAAATTCTTCGAGTGTTCTTACCCTTAGCGTGCCAGATTCGACGGGACAACTGTCTGTGACACTCGGTTGAGAGCAAAGAAGGAAACATCCAGTATCTCGTAGGATGACCGATCCGAAAATCGAGATGCATTACACACCACCGACTTCAGACACCATTCAAACGAAACCCTTCCCTATTCGAGGTAAGATTCCGTCTTTCTACGATTGCGTATAAATCGATTTCTCATAAATATTACACACTTTATAGATCCATACATTTTTTCATTTGAAAAAGCAAGAGTAACGATCGAATTTGCAGATGTTTTATTTCTAGCGTTCCTAATATTTCGTTATCGTGGAAATTTCGTTTCTCTATCCTTCTCTCCGCATTTTTACGAATGTTTCGTATCGATTAGTGCAAATTTCGCTAAGAAAACAATCGACAATTGAATCGATTCGAGTACAGAATAAATATATCTATCATCGAATTCTCATGTAAAGTGGATAGCCGTTTGAAAATAAGTAAACATATTGTGTCTTTCACGTGTTCCATTGAATCGTAATTGATTGCTCTCCAGAACATAACCTGAAAAGATGCACCATACTGAACCGCGTGTAGCACGTCCATAATAAACGATACGCATTACTGTAGTGTATAGTAAACTGTATACATGTGACAGGGGGACGTGTTAACTGACTGATTCATGCTTTGTGGTACGCGAAATCCCACTGAAGCCGGTATGAAAAAGTTGTATCTGACATTGTACGAATCGCCTTCGTTCTTGACCTTGCTAACGCATGATTGATCTTTCAAATTAATGCCGTTTTATCTGCGCAAGCGACGAAACAAGTGAACATTCGCGCGTAAAACGAAATTTCAGTCGAATTCTTCTGTTCGGTTGGATTATGAATTATGCATTATTCGGCAGAATGAAGCGATACTCGCAATCAATCATGTAAACAATCGATTTTTCAACTAAGCGAACACTGAAGTGTTTCTTCTGTAATAGAAACCCACAGAATGATTTATTCGGTAATAAAAAAATACAGGGTGTCCTAAAAATGTTGTAACACCTTGAACGGGGTTATTCGGGAGGTAATTTGAAACAACTCTTTCCTTAGCGAAAATGTTGTCAGAGATTTCGTTGAGGAGATATTAACAAAAAACCCCGACCAATTAGAACGCGCATAGAGAAGGCTACGCGCTAGACGGCCGCGCTCATACGCTACCGCGGCCGATCCACTAGCATACTCGCGCTCTGATTGGTCAGTGTTTTCCGTTAATATCTCCGCAACGAAACCCCGCACAACATTTTCGCTAAGGAAAAAGTAGTTTCAAATCATCTCCCGAATCACCCCTTTCAAGGTGTTACAACATTTTTGGGACATCCTGTACACTAAGAGTGACAGGTAATAAAATAATTTGATTTCACTGTTTCGAACGAAATATCAGTGAGTCCTTAGCGATCGATTTCTCATGTAGCCAAAAATCTTATTTTGATGTTTCAATTAAAATTTTTTTTTTCATGATAATTATTATTATTAAAAGCAAATAATGTATAAGGTATGTTATATTATTATTAAAGTAAATTTATAACAACATACGTACAAAAAAGCTTCTTCTTGTAAGTTACTTTTTTTCCAGTAAAAACACGATTTTGTTTTCAGTTTACAATAAAAATAGAATCTTGTCCATTTTAATTTAATAAAGAGTTTAATTGGAAAAAAATGTCCGGTTTAATTTGATTCAACATTATTAACGTAATACACGTTATACGTAACTTCCGATCAATGATAATTATTAATACCAAACTAAATTTAAATTGAAAATATTTCTTTTTTCCAAAAAGGCACAATGTCGATATAAAGAAGTTCTTGCACAAATTTTGCATTCACTTACTAAGAAGCAACCGATATCTTTAATTTTCTTTTACTGGAAATCAGGGCCGACGTTAGAGAGGGGGGGGGCGGACACCCGCCCGGGGCGCTAGATTTTTGGGGGCGCCGCAGTCCGGTGTAGATTAGTAAAGCTGCTATATATTGTAGTTTAACAATCTTTACAATCTAGATACAGATTCATCGTTTGATATTATTACCTTGTCTTCTTTTCTTAAAAATGTTAAGCCTCTGAAGGGGCGCCACGATAATCTTGTCCAAGGCGCCAATATTGCTAAAACAGGCCCTGCTGTAAACCGACAATGAGAGCAAAACGAGTATATTTTCTCGGACGCACCAATAAATTCACCGCGATTGTACCTTGGTCTTTGCTCGATTAATAAAAACAACAACGTGCTGATAAAATTAATCTCGAAGATTGGACCCCAATGAAAAGTGGACATGCGTTTTACACACTCTTGTTGGACTACAACGGATTACTTCGCAATCGGAGACAGATAACACAAAATGTTTACTTTTATTAAGTCCAGCGGCAAACACGATGTCCATGCGTCAAAAGCATCAATGCTTCCTTGTATGTTATAGATTCCTTATCGACGTGTAAACTCTATTAATTAACGTTTTGATTACTATCACTTTTCTGTTAATAATTATCCAATGCGAGAAAGCTAAGAATTTATACAGGGTGTCCCAAGAATGTTGTAAAACCTTGAAAGGGGTGGTTCGGGAGGTGATTTGAAACAACTTTTTCCTTAGCGAAAATATTGTCCGAGGCTTCGTTGAGAAGATATTAACGGAAAACACTGACCAATTAGAGCGCGCGTATACCGTTGGAGCGGCCGCGGTAGCGAAGGCTACGCGCTAGGTGGCCGCTCTCATACGCTACCGCGGACGCTTCCACCGGCATATTCGCGCTCTGATTGGTCAGTGTTCTCCGTTAATATCTCCTCAACGAAACCTCTGACAACATTTTCGCTAAGGAAAAAGTTGTTTCAAATCACCTCCCGAATCACCCCTTTCAAGGTGTTACAACATTTTTGGGACACCCTGTATACAATATGAATCGTAGTACGAGTCGCGAGGTCAAGGTGCACGTATAACGCGAGGCAGGGCCGGCGCAAGGCAGGTTCAGCGTGTTCGCTGGAACGCGGCCTCGCGATTTACGAAAATTACCCAATTAAAAGGCACCGATTTTGATTAACTTTTTATAGAATGATGATACTATTAACAGATGCAAGACATTTTTTTAATAGCGATGATTCAGTTTAAAGGAGTGACAAAAATCATCAAAGTATTATTATTTAGTATTCGCCTTATAAAAAATATACAATATGTAACAGCGTTTGTAAATAAATAATTCTTCGTTGTAAAATTTAAGTGTAGGATTTGAATGTGAATTCAAGTCCCGCAACATTTTTGAACCCGGCCCCACAAAAGGTCATGACGGCTCCGGCGCGAGGCTTCCGATTGGTCGAACGGTACTGGCAACGCCACATTCTACCAATCGGTAGTCACTCGTGTTACACCAATCGAAAGACTCAACTCCTTATAACATTATTATCTCCATCATACAACGGATACTACACATAATTAGCATTTTTATAGTCAATATTTTGTTATGCCACGTTTAAATTTACTATAAATCCATAAAACTTAATTATAAACTGACCGTTACATACATACATTCCGCTTTCATAGTTATATCGCGTATTTATTCTTAAGGGAGTATGAATACTTTCGTCATTCACTATACGTGTGTTGCAACGACTGATACGGCGCCGATGTTATTTATCAAGGTCGTCGATTAGTATATACGTGAAACTCAAGATTCCTTTTTCTCCTAATCCGATTTGTTTTAAATATCGAGTTGTTGAAAATAGGCAAGCGGTCATTAATAGCACAAACCAGGAATTGCGTAAATTTCCTTGGACCGCCGTAGCGTTCTGATCTCGCATAAATCTAATGCATATCGAGCGAGTCTCGTCGAAGATCAATAAATCAATTCGAATACGCTAATGCTTCTGTCTCGACCATAGAATTTATGTCGGAAGAAAAAGAGATTTTTCTGGGTTTACATTTGATTTTTATTCAGCAAACTGTAGTCACCGTAATTATTTACGATTTATAAATATTTTGAGGAAATCGTTAAGAATAAGGCTCATAATATTTAAACCTCCAATAGTAGATTACGAATTTGTTATAAATTCGTACATTTTGCTATCTTATTTATTTTTAACAAATTTTATTAAAAAATAATATTTTATTCTCATTCAATGTTTTTTTAGACATAAGTAATAAGTTACTCAGCAGTGTACGATTTTAAGACCATTAAACAAAATATACTCTACTGTCGAAGAAAAAAACTAATATATTAAAAAATAAATGCGAGGAGTTTACAAATGTAAAATTAAAGCGTGAAATTGCTTGTGACCAGTCAACGCTATTTATGAAGTGTAAATAGCGTTTAACAATAATAAATTGCTTGATACGGCTACGAACTTAGAGCTGATAACTTGTTGACGTCAAAAATGACGGCATACATAGGCTAGCAGTATCAATACTATCAGTATGTGAACCGGAAAGCAATAAATATAAATAAAAGTGTATACACACACGTACTTACAGTATAGATAAAATTACATAGTATGCAAGAATGTTATCCCTGTATTCAAGAAAAAGAAACTGACTCAAAAAACGTGGCACAGAGTTTTTGTGCGAAAGCTTTCTTTCATCGAATAGTATAATTACAATTAATTTTTTCATAAATTTAGAATGGTATGAGAAAATTTTACTCTGAATTTTCAATTTATCTTGTGGAGAAGATCTATCTCGTCCTGACTTACGCCGCCATATTTTTCAACGTACATAGTCACGGCCGGCGTTGGGGGGGGGGGGGCCCGGTTGGGCAACCGCCCGGGGCGCCAGATTTTTGAGGGCGTCAC